GAGCTTGATTCCTGATTGAATTATTGTTAGAACTGATATTCCACCTAAATCATATCAGGTTACCCTGGGGTTTTTTTTTTCTCTCATCACATACATGGATCCTTTATTAACGTGGATATTAGGCTGACTACTGAGGCTGTAAAATCTAAGTATCACTTTTGCAATATAATTACGTATACACATTTCTTTCCCTATTTCTCCCATCCCCAATAAACAGATCTTGAGCATCTTAAACTAGTCACTGCAATGATATTCAGTCGTTAGCACATAATCAATTTGTAAAAGGATTGAAGAATACAAAAAAAATGGTTTGCTAAAATGAGGCATCCTCCATTGTTTTATGTAATGTACCCTGACTGCTCCTGAGTAAGAAAGGAGCTCGTCCTCCATGAGATAAGGCTATATCCTCACTTGTTGGTGAGACCAAATTGTACCCTTAGAAAATCTCAAATGAAATTATAGCAAACATAGTGTTCAAAGTAATCAACTGAAGCATTTCTGAAGGTAGTGTGTGCACATTTTCCACCTCCTTCCCCTCTGGGTGAGCACTAAATAGCTTGCTTAATTTGTTAAGTAAATTTAAGAGTAAGAAGACAATTATAAAATATAACTATAAATGACCCAAATAATTATCACTGAATAACCAAATATCTCAAATTCAAAGGTTCACTGTTGTTCTTAGTTTTTTCTTTAGTTTAATCCTTCAATTAGCTGAATCATAGAAGAAAAAAATGTGAATAATTTTACAAGATGGCTTTTCAATTTGCAATGATAAAGCTCCCAGTATGACAGAGGTGGTTTCTAAAAGGGGGCTTTTTTCCTCTTCTTTTTTTTTAAGTAAAAACAAATATAACTTAAGAAAAAATAGAAGGAAAGAAAAGCATGCAGGCTCTACAGGCAAGGAGTCCACTTCCATGTATCTGTTCTCTGTGAGGTAACTCAATTCTCTTTTGTAGAGAAACATGCAAAAGGCCAAACAATATTCCGAGCCATACTGCACATGAAAATTTTAAAATATGCAACATTCAGAATGCACCTTTCACCTCTGTACACACAAGTCAATGCAAAAGCTGCAAAGAAACAAGTGTCACAGTAAATGAAGTTAGGTGCAAGCAATGACAGCTGAACAATGATGCAGTAGTGCTCACCCAGTTTGTACAGTAATTGGCACTCTACAGTATTCCTACTCGTTTTTTGATTCATTTGCACTTTGTGCTGCCTCTCCCTGGGGATCTAATTCAATCTTTACAGAAACATCTGGCCCCTCCGACCTCATTAATTTCATCTTTTTCTTTGGAGGGTTTTTCAAAGTGCCCAGCCTCTCCTTTACTTTGTACTCCAGTGTACTGTGGGGAATCCCATAAATACTCTGAGCTTTGGAAACACTCATTTTTCCACTCATAACCACTGAGATTGCTTCCTCCAGTATCTCACTGTTGTACTGTCTGTAACGCCCTCTTTTCTTTCGAGGCTGCTTGGAGCCAGGGTCTCCTTCTTGATCCGATGTGGGATATGGCTGTCCAGAGGTAGACTGCTCAGCATCTGAGCCCCAAGAATCGGGTCCAGCATCTAACATGCTTTTTCTATTTTGTTTTGGAAGAATAGCCCTTAATTTTTTACTAAGCGCGCTCTCCGTTTGTGAACCCATTACCAAAGAGCTATAGCTGTATTGATCACCAGTGCGAGACTCCCAAGAAAGATCCATTCCTCTAACTTGTGGTATCTTTAAATCTACAGGAGATGAATGGCTCACATCCTTTTTTCCATCTTGTTTTGCTTGAAGTGCCATTTTTGGAAAGGCAGAATTTTCTGCAAGAAAAGGAAGGTCACTGATGTTGCTGAGTGCACCATTTCCCCTGAACTTCATACGGCTGAGGTTGAACTCGTAGTGTGGTTTTGCCCAAGAGGCTTCCCTGGATAATATTAAATGTTGTCCATGATTCTGTAATCCAGATGGCCCAAGGCTGGCAGCTGTAGACAATTGGTTTCTGCTCAGTAGTTCTTCACTGATCTGCAAGGATCGAGCCAGTGGAACTTTGAGTGATGTGGAGTGTCCAAAACCTTCCCTGGTTCCATCCTGTAAGCTTCTTGGAGGTACCCCATCACCACTCCGAAGTCCGTCTGGGCGGTACTGGCTGGGTCTCCCAGGTCGCCTAATTGGATGGAAGGAAACTGATGTGAGCAGGACTTGCACAGGTAGGGAGGGATGGGTGAGGGGACCACTCCTTTATTAGAAGGCCTTGCTTGGGTAACATCACTTTGTGTTATTTATTTATTTTTCTCTAAAATTAAAAAAAATGGTCTCAGCAGTTAGTTTTAAAACTTGTTCACAAAAAAAGAAAAAGTGAAAAGAAAAAAAAAATCAGGAGCTTTTTGGGCAAAGAAAAATTAAACCTGTCAGCTGGTCTCTGGTTGGGTTCACAAATTTTCGGAGAAAAAGTTTCGCGCAACTGTCTGAAAATAGCATCTTAATGATTAATTACAAAGTAATCATCAGTCTCCATAGATCTACACAGAATTGTGTTGCCAATGTGACGTTACCACTAAACAAGTACAGTAATAAAAGAGTAAGCCAAATTATTTATTTTAATGCAATGTATTCAACATTCATAACAACTAGCTATAAAACTGGAACCATTGACACTGGTGGAACCCACAGATAATTGCTCATTTATCCCACAAACAAGTTGATGTTCATCATAAAAAATCAATTCCAAATAACATTTCTTATTTTGCTTAGAAAAAAAAAATATATATATATATAGCTATCAGCCCAAAGGGAGGAAAAAAAACAAAATAAAACAAAGACCCATTACATTATAACTTACCACACTTTTTCACTTTAAAACACTATTAGTTGCAGATACATAACATGAATATCATGATTCTCCATTTGAAATAATCCAAGCTTAAAAGAAAATTACCCTTTATTTTCTCTAAATCTTTGTTCCTTAAGTTCTACTGAAAAAATATTTATTGCCAGAGATACATAAACAATTTTGTAGCAGTTTTCTTTGGTAAAAAAAAAAAAATAAAACAAAACTCCTTTTAAAATATTCTTTTGAAATACCAGACATCTATTTTAAAATTTTAAGTGGATAGCTTTAAAATAATGTTTAAAAAGTCAACGATTTATACAAAGTTAATTCCTATGGTTTCGATTTTCACAATAGAGAAAGATTATCAATATTAAGACTGACAACTGGCAAAGCATGCCCAAAGGGAATGATTACATTAACTAGGCACAAAAGTGGAGCTCAGCAGAAATAATGATAAACCAGCTATGTTCTCTAAAACTCTATAGGTAATGCTGTCATCAGTAAATAACACAATAAGGATAACACTGAATATTCAACTAAAAGATGGGCAGTACTTTTGGTGCATTTGTCTTCCATAAAACAAAACCAAGTAGAAAACACTTTCCATTCAGAGGAATTAACACAGAAACTTCAGCCATATATAATACATGGACCTGCAGCCAAGCTAAGGGCAAATCTTAAGCAAAGGGTTTATTTATGCAAACTACATGTGGGCTTTTCCAACATGTGCCCTTAATTACATAACTATAAATGGAACCCAATAATTAGGGACCATGCTGACTTTTATCTAGTATAAGTCATAATGAAAAGAAAGGCTTAAAAATTAGTAAGTTATGCAAAATGGATTAAATTAATAGTTATTTTTAGGCTGAATAAAGAAGAGGAGAAAAGGGAAAATGATGGAGTTTTAGAGAAAACAGAGGGAGCATTTTAGAAGTCAGTAAAGGAATCCTTCAATTTGAAGGTAATTAATGGTTAGTCCACTTAACATTCACTGGTTCCTTTAATATATATCTAAATAACTTCCCCGCATTGATAGCCTACAAGTTAAATAAAACTAAATATTTACACTTACCAAAGTTATTTTTCATGTCTAGATAAATTTGATTTTTGGTCACAACACAGTTTTATGGAAATGCCCTTTGTATATGGTATCTAAATATCTTCTTTAATACCTGACTTTTCTAAATGGTTACTAAACACACAGGGAGTATTAGACAATTCTTACACTATAAAATTAAGTAGTCAGAGAATTAATTTTAATATCAAAGGTGAGCACGTAAATGTCTTGGCAGCATAAGATGATTACCTATCAACATCTACAACCAGTCTATTAAAAAACAAAAAATACATACAATTACGCTTTCTGAACTGCCAGAGTTAAAGTTGCAGTTCAAATCAACCACCAAAAACCAAAACCAAACCAAAACAAACAAAAATGAACACAATACACACAAGCCCCACTGGAGATACCAAGTTAAATACTGGAGCCCAATTTTCATTCAGCAACTTCACACATATACTGCCTTTATACCTAAACTCTGGAATTATTTAGCTTGGCTTTCACACTCCAAAACAATCAACAACAAAAAGTCCAAAGAAATATTCTTCCCATATTCATGACTATTTACTATTTGTCCTAAATAAAATATATTAATCTACACTAGCCAATTCTACATTGCACAGGTTGTACTTTTTCTTGATTGATGGACTAAAAGCCACCTTACAAAAGGCCCACATATATAACTATTAGTCTGAAGGGTTAATTTTAATATTTATTTATTTGTTTATTAATTAAACAGGGTCTCATTCTGTTGCTCAGGCTGGAGTGTAGTGGCCCAATCATAGTTCACTGTAATTTTGCACTCCTGGCCTTAAGCAATCCTCCTGCTCAGCTTCCCAAGTAGCTGGATTACAGGTGCGTGCCACCACCCCTGGCTAATTTTTAAAATATTTTGTAGAGATTTTAGTTTAATATTTTAAATATTCTGTTGGCTGGTCTCAAACTCCTGGCCTTACGCGATCTTCCCACCTTGGCTTCCCAAAGCACTAGGATTATAGGCATGAGCCACCGTGCCTAGCCCAAAGGGTTAATTTTTAAAATGTACAAGGGAGATTGGCATCAACCTTTGACGAATTAGCAATTTAAAATTGCAGAAGGCTACGAATATTTTTCCTTACCCGTTCCCTTGAGTACTGGAGCAGCCTGGAGAATGGCTCAGGGAAGTGCTGCCAGCACATGGACTTTTCTTAGTGGACAGATCAAGTACACCGTCTGCAGAAACACAAAGAAATACCTGAGGATATTAAAAAGTAGGAGCAAATGAACTGAAGGTTCAAAATGAAAAAGCAGTAGGCTCAGTAAACTGATCAGATATGCTACTCATATATTTGAGTTATGAAATCAATTCAATAATAGAATCAGGATATTTTTCCTCCTGAAGCAACATAAATTTAGCAAAGCATGTTATATCTAGTATCTCCAAGGGCTAAATATTTTATTAAAGGGGCTAAAGGTAAAACATGCTACAGAAGATGTTAAAATACAGTGAGATATTAGAAATAGCAGTTTACATAGCATGAGGACCTGCACTAGAATTCTTAAGACTTCATTTTCTAAATTTACCTGATCAAAGCATGAGTTTTTAATGTCCCACATGGTATACAAACGATAAAACCAAATTTCTTAAGAGCAAAATCTATCTGAAACTCCAAAAGTACATTAAAGTTGGATACAGAAAATTTTAAGGCAGACAAAAATCATTTTAACATATAAGTTTATATGGTTAAATTACATGTACACTAAACAAGATAATGTGTAAGATAAATCAGTTGTTAATGGTTTATAATTTGGGTGTGTCCTAATTATTCTTTGGACACATTTATAAAAAATGATTTATCTGGATTCAACATTTTGGAAAAAATCTGCACAGATTCAAAATTCACCTGCTGAAATTTATAAAGGCAAGGTGTTTTCAGTTAAGAACGCATTAAAAATAGGTGGACAAAGTTTGAGGAAAGAAGAATGAAACAGTCTTGATACCAATGAGAGCCTAGAAGTATAACCAATTTTTACTGAAGCCAGACCAAATCACAAATTCATGTTATGGACACAAAATTAGAAGACTTTCTTTTCCTTCAAAGGCATTTTCCCCTTTATAGACATATCTAGAAAAAATATCTCATAGTCTGGACAACTTTTAAAGCTGCCACTCAACTTTTAAAGCTGCCAAAATTAACAGAGCAAGATAATACTCATAGCCTCCAATTTTCAGCTGGCCAGCAGAAAGGTTTTGCTATCTGGTTACCACAGGATAAAATCTACTCATGACTTGTGTCTGAGGACATTCTAACACTCCCTATTTCAAGCTGTTAAAAACAAACATCCAACTGAATTTATAAACAAAAAGTCCACCCTCATAAACAGTTTTGTCCTTTAGTCACTAATAGTTCTAAAAATATAATTGTAATCTTACAAAAACCAAGTATGCTGTTAGACATCTAACCCATTAGGCATCTATCCAACAAGCAAATGTATTGCTTAAAATATTTCCAACCAAAGACAGTCTTGTTTAGAAACTTATAAACTAAATAGGCAACACACTTTAGATCTACCACTAAAAATACTGTGACTGAAGTTGAAAACACCAAGATTCATTAAGGAAATATAATTTAAAAATTTCTGCTTCATTTGAAGTTTATACACTATAATGCTATCATGCAGTTCAAATTTCTCCTGGTAAGAGCATGCTGCCATCACTTCTCTCTTAAGTGCAACACTAGCTACAATACTGTATGTTAACCTCCATGATTAATACTTTAAATACATTTCTATGCTGCCACTCTCCTAATATAAACCTGTAGCTTTTGATGCAATATTTAGAGCAACGAGATTTTTAGTAAAAACTACCAATTTATTGTAAAGGAAATCATCAATAAAAAAGACAAGACACAATTTTACAAATAAGTTAAACAAGGGTACATGATCAATGTGAGCATAGGACAATTCGGAGGTATCCTGTCAGGAAGTATCTCAGAACTTGGATACTTTGTTTGCTGTTCACCACACAGAAACAGGAAATAAGCAAAGGAAAATTACTCAAAACAAAGTCCTTTCAAGGAAGTTCTTTTAAGAATTAAATTTATTTTCTTCCCAAAATAAACATGTATTTCTAGCTAATAAATCCATGTATCTCATAACCTTTCTGTATTCCAAGATTTCTACAACAACAAAATCTCATTAGTATAGACATCACCAATTTATAATTTGCAGTGGTTCAAACAATGGCTGACTTGAAATGCTCACTTCAGTCTTTGTGAAATTAAAGGTAAATGAGATCACAAAGCAACAAGAATATTTAATTTATTGAAAAGAATAAACTTTTCAGAGATGCAAGAAACATTTGCTAAACAAAACTGATAACCTCTTTAACCTCTTCACTTAATTAGGGTCCTCATCAACAAATTCCCTTTCAGAAATATTTTAAGGTTATTTCATAATACAGGGGATGTGTTTATGTATTTATAAAACACTGAATACACTTAACAACCTAAAGTGTGTTCTATTGTCTTCTCTATTTCTAACCCTAGTTTTTTTTTTTAATTGTAAATAATATATATTTTTTCTTATGATCTAATGTACAGAGTATATAACTTATACCTAACAAGTAAAGGCATACTTCTCAGGGGCTAATCCTAGAACATTAATGGATAAGGGGAAAAACTTACTTTTTCATAAGAGTTAAAAAAAAAAAAGATGTGACAATGCTTTGCAAAATGTAAAATGCTCATATAAATTCAAGCAACTTAAAAGATCAGTCAGTGACAACTGTAATCACCTGACTTTCCTGGGTAGTACATCAATCATGACTACAAACTGATGATGGATAGGTTGTAACAACTCTATTTGTACTTCTCCATTACTGCATAGTCAGAAATAACTTAAGAATCACATTAGTTTTTATTCTATTATTGTTGCTGGCGCTCTACTTGCCAATATTTTTTTTCTCCCCAAGTTAAAGTATGCTGATTGGACAGAGGAGACCTTGACATCAAACCATACCTTGTTCACTAGGTTCTGACTGAGACTTTCTGACAGTAAGGTCCAGAGGTGAGTCTTGGTCAGCCATGAGAAGTTTGCTGAGCACAGGGTTCTGAGTAGTTGCAGCCGTGGGAGAGGTGGTGACTGGAGATGCTTTCGGCAGGCTTTGGTTCTTTGTGCTATTGGGCTGGCTGGGGTCCTGAGTAGAGCTATTTTTTGAGGTATATTCAGCAGCAAATTGTTGGATCATTCGCTGCATGATCTCACGGGCCACTAGGGGAATATTGGGGTCGGAGACCCAGGGACTGTCTGTAAATAAAGATTTATTTACTTTTAAAGTGGGATAATGTACTTAAAAAAGACAGCTTTCAAGTAAACATAAAATTTCATTTTCTTTTCCTTAAAATGCAATATCTTAAAAATAGTATTCTCCTTTTGACTTATAGTTTTAATCTCTAACTTTTGAATTACAGATTTTCAAAAAAGAAATGTTTCATAAAAATATGTCTAAACATTTCCCCCCAGGATTATGAAATTAAAGGGATAACAAATAGTATATCTTATGGGCATGAATCACTTACCTGATATAGAAATCCCAAAACCCTTCTCTTATGAAATAATCTCTCCCTTGTTACATCTATAGATCACATCAGGTTTCCCTATATTTTTCCTCAGCCAATTCACCTTGGTTTTTGAAGAATGAGTTAGTGAGTTAATGAGTGCTTAATTTATTTCCTATTTAAGATTGAAGGCATACCAAGATTATATAAAAGGAGATACTTATTTTAAGATCCTATGATAGGCTAGGGCAGTAGTTTTTACATTTTAATGTTCATCAGAATAACTCTGCTGGCTTGTAAAAACAGATTGCTGGGTCCTACCCCCACACTTTCTGATTGAGTAGTTCTAGGGTGGGCTCAAGAACTGTCATTTCTAACAGGTTCCTAGATGCTGCTGGTCTGGGGACAATTTTAAAATCCCTGGCTAGGAGTTTAATTTAAATGCCAAATCTCAAAAGCCTAAGAAAGACCACATATTTTCCATAAGTTATTTAAATACACCCTGCCAACTGTTAACACTATAGCTAGGGATATAATAAAATAAACATCTAAGTTATCAATTACTAGTCAATGCTAAGTTTAGACAATATGAATTCATTAGCTCACAGAACTTTTAGCACTGGAAGGGACCCTGAAGGTCATACGAGGTTGAGAGGGAAATGATTTGCATAAACATATTATCAGGTCTCTATAATTACCACACTGTAACAGTCAATCAGGAAGACTAAACTTCTCAAGAGCAGAGATTGTATTTACCTTTGCATACCTAATCTTGCCTAGTGAAAGTGTGCATTCAATTTAGTTGAGTAATAAATGAGTCAATCAAATCAATCACTATGAAATACTCCTTTTTGTAAAAACAAAAACAAATCAGGGAAATATGATCTAAAGAGTAAGTGGCCTCTACAAATCTGTACAGATGGTTAGTGATAGATCCTTGATTAAAACTTTCCCCCTGATCTTACTGTTTATCTGTGACCTTTACTCCCCACTATACTTCTGAGGCTTTAGAAGATGGTTCTTAGAAAACCTCAGTTTCCTTGGTCTTTTAAAGATTAGCTATAGAGAGCAAATAACTTTACCCACAGTATTTTGTACCTGTAAGAAACTTAAGAGGTTTATTTAAAAGTTAAAGAAAAACTGACTCTTATACTAACTAAAATCTAAAATCTCCACAACAAACAAAAAACAAGCAACAAACACATCATTAAAACTTCATAGGACTCCTAAAAACATAACATTTTTTCCCTGAAGGACAATACTCGATATCAGGAGATGCTCATAAAGTCAAAATATTTAATTCTCTGAAGTTTAATGAGGCTTGCTCTACCAATAATAATGTTTCTTACTAAGAAGTATTTTTAACCCTAAGTTTTCTCTTCATAATTAGAGACTATGAATATTCTAGATACCTAAGAATAAAGGTATTCAATTAGGTAAGGTTCAGAAGCTGCTACAATCACTAACAATGGTTTCTCAAATGTTTTAATATACACTTTCCCATATACTGCTTTTTAAATAACTCTATCCACTGGATTTTTAGTCATTTAACTTTCCTGTTAAAATCCATTTTTCCTCTATATGGCATACAATCTCCATATGAATGACTATATAAAATTACAAGTTTTTATATATGTATATATATTTATTTTTTGAAGACAGACTCTCCCTCCATTGCCCCAGGTAAAATTCAGTGACGATCATAGCTGACTGCAACCTCAAACTCCTGGGCTCGAGCAACCCTCCTGCTTCAGCCTCTTCAGTAGTTACCTGGGACTACAGGCGCATGCGACCATGCCTGACAAATTTTCTATTTTTAGTAGAGATGGGGTCTTGCTCTTGTTCAGGCTGGTCTCAAAAACCTGAGCTCAAGCAATCCTCCTGCCTCCCAGAGTGCTAGGATCACAGGCGTGAGCTCCCATGCCTGGCCCCCAAGTTTTAATATATTAGTGTATCCTTCTCCTACTGAAATGTTGGGGAATATGTAATACATAAAGAGGAGTATTTTCAAACAGGAAGCAACATGAAATAATTTATGAAATGTCTCTGTTTAACTAGTATTAATAAACTAATATGACAAAAGAGCTCCGTAAAGAGTCAAAGATTTTAGGATAAATACCATAAACCTCTTGAGCTTTAAATGCCTGCAGCATATCTTGTCTCTTTCCTGAATGAGTAACACAATCATGAGAAAAAACATATTCAATGTTTTCATATGAATGACATCTCTGCCATTTAAATATCTGTATCTTTTGAAAGTTTTTAAAACAGATTTCATTCTTTGACTTACTTAAAACACATATCTATAAACATACCCATGCCCAAAGGAACACAATTGAGTCAAATAAAAGAAAAAAATCAGATCAATATAAAACTACAGAAAAATGTGTTACATTATAGCCATCTGTATATTTGAAAATGTGAATCTAACTTTTAGAAAAAGTGTCAAATCTTCTAATCCAAGTCACAAAGCAAGCTAAAAAAATGTGATTATGACAGCTGTAGAAGGTACATTGTTCTTAAATTAAAATTTATTATAGTCCACATCCCAAAAGCCCACTTTTATTGCAAATGTTTCTACTTAAACACATATAACTTATGCACATTCAATTACTTAAAATACACAATTTGCAGTACTTGGAAACAAAGGACCAAATCCAAAGATCTTAATTATTTATAAAAACAAAATATTCTCGAGACTAAAGTGCCCATCATATCCCTGGATACTAAACACTTCTGGCATTAATCTGAAGAGTACTAATGCCGATCTTTGAGACATTTTCAAGAGATTTAATAAGATATCTAAAAATAACAATATTCATACATAAAGCAAAGGGAAGGGAACTTTCAATTCCAAAGCAATAGTTCTTTTTCCTAGCTTCACATGCCAGTATATAAACAAACGCACAAACATAACTTAAAATTTGAGAGGATTTCCATCTCTTGAAATATATCAAGACTGATTCCAAGGTAAAAATTCCCCTCCCCAAAAGGTTATGCTCAAAGATTTAATTTCTAAATATAAAAAGCTTATAAAAACTTTAAATGTAGGTTAATACTCTATGCCAAAGGGATAGGACTAGTAGAGAAGTAGGAAAGAATTTCTCTGTAGGAATCTTCTTATGATTGACCTCATTAATGCCCCCTAAATAAAGAGTGGATGAAAGCAGTTCCTCCAGGTAAACCAGGAAGAGGAGTTTCCTCTGTATAGATAATGAAGCTTGCTGTAACAACACATAAGACCAATGACCCTGTATACATCCTATAGGACAGGAGCAGAAAATATTTTTTATTTGGTTAATAAACTGAGACATCAGTCACTTATACTATAAATGTAAATTATTGTAATAAAACAAATATTCATAAAACTAAAAAAATTACTATTATGAACATAATTTTGGAATTCAAGGCACTTTATGAGGATTAAGGTGAGCATGGGAGACTTGGCTGGGAGATTTAGGTCAGAGGGTGCTAGTGGGTATTAAAAAAGAAGCAAGCATGTACTAAAAGATTTAATTTTGCCTAGGGATCTAATAGAAGAAACTGGGAAAAAAAGTGCCACAGAAAAACAATAATCTGTGCATTACTTAATTTTACGTGACATTTCGCCTCATACCACCTTTTGAAAACATTGGTCACATTAAGTAGAAGCCCAGCTGGTATCCAACTGTAACAAACCCATTAGAACCAGCATTTATCAGACTTTTAACCAGTGTACAATCAAAATAAACCCTTCAAATTTCAGAGGGAAGAAGGGAATTTTCAGAGGAATAAGAATTGTAAACTAGAACATATGAAGAAATATTAAAGAAAATGGCATCACTGAGTCAGCTGAAGGTTTGGATATTCAAAATTATCAGGAGTTTATAGGAAACCATTTTAGAACCTATCATAGTAATCTTCCTCTTGGAACTAGAGAAGTATAACTAAGAAATACAGATCCCCTTAGGAAGAATTTCTTGAATGTAAAGACTTCACTAGAATGGATCAGGAAAGAAAGTTTTCTTAAGTTCTTGGTTGATAGCAATTATGTTTTGTGCATACAGAAAAGAAGTAAATGTCTCCATGAAGAATTCTAAACCTCAAGACTATGACTGGAGAAATTTTCTGTATTTCAAAAGAAATGTAAAATAAACTTATCAAAGTTCAAGGAGAAAGATAAATTGAAAAAAAAATGCAAGAGGTGAAGCTATTAATGCCACCTCAAATGTAGGGGGAAAGTTTATTATATAATAATGAGTTTCTCTAATTTTAACAATACAAAAAATTTCAGTTAAAGTGTGGAGAAAAAAATGCTTATAAATCTAATTTTAACACATAACTACATTTCTGGTCTAATTAAATTTCAGGTTAGAATTACCAAAAATTCACAGTTTATATATAGTTATCAGTGATTAAAAAGTTAACTTGTCTCGGTAAGAAAATCTGTCTAGCAAATATAGAAGTACTAAGATATTACAATTTTCAGAGTTTCATAAACTCTCAACTATTTAACTAAAACTCACTGTCACTTCAGAGCCTAAAGGGGGTACAGGGGTTGCCTTAACCCTGTTCCAAATTTAATCTGACCAAAGGAATATAGAGAAATATAAAGTATACCATCAATAAAGAAAAATATTTTTAAGAGTAACTTTTAAAATGACATTGAAATTAAGCAGATTAAAACAAGACAAGCAGATGCTAAGTCATTCTTCACTGAAACCAACCTTTTCTATAAAAGACTGCATTGAGGAACTCCTCTGCTTGTCTCTCGAATCGAATGATTTTTGCTTGCTCTTGTTTAAGCAGAGCTTCTTGCCCAGCTCCCGAAGCTGGTTCATCCAGACCGACTAAGTGTCCCTGTAAAAATATTTGGTGAAATAGTTGCACAAAAATCTTTTCTCATTCAATATCAAAAGCACAGATGCATAATCAAAGATAAATGTTAACAGCAAATAAGACAAACTAGTACAATTAAAATATTTTAAAACTTCAAATCAGGATAAAATTTATCTCCACAAAAATATTAATATAAAAATTAAATGAGTATAAACATATACTTTGGATGGATTTTATCCACGTTCTCTGATTATGAATTTTGTTCAAAATTTACAGGCAAACTCTAATTAAACTATATAATTACCAAAGGGAAAATTTCCTTGGGCAACCAAATAGATTGGTTCTATTATACTACAGTAATAGTTCACAGGCAACTCAATGGAGATATATGCCCTTTTTTTGAGATAGAATCTTACTCTGTTGCCAAGGCTAGAGTGCATCATCACAGCTCAATGCAACCTCAACCTCCTGGGCTCAAGCAATCCTCCTGCCTCAGCCTCCCGAGTAGCTGGGACTACAGGAGCGAGCCACCATGCCCAGCTAATTTTTCTATTTGTTGCAGAGATAGGGTTTCATTATGTTACTCAGGCTGGTCATGAACTTTTGGCTTCAAGCAATCCTCCTGCCTTGGTCTCCCTACATGCTAGAACTATAGGCGTAAGGCACTGTGCTTAGCTCATTATGATTCTTTAAATAAAAAAAAAGAAACTTTTTCAGCCCCAAATCTCATTTGAGGATCATGTTTGCCTTCCTAGTATGAGATCTGTTTTCACCAGACACAAAACACAAACATTTTAAAAAGGCCCTTAGGGAAAAAAACTTCAAAAAATATATTTGGATTCATAATTCTGTCCCTAGATTACTGTTTTACAAACTGTGGTTCTCAAACCTTTAGTGGGTTGTAAAATTGATTAACAGGTCAAAAGCAGCACTAAAAAAAAGAACTGCAAAACAGAATGCATGTTCTAAGTGTAAGCACTTTAGTTCTTTTATTTATACACACAAACACACACACACACACACACACACGAAGTATATACACACACACTTGAACATCTTTGCAATATAAAATGTTGCAAAATTTCTCTGACCAAGTTCCAATATGTTGCACTAAACTCATCCCAGAAACCCCCAGCATCTGCTCCCACACTGCAGGAGTACTAGACTAAATTGATAATGATTTCAACTTACTTCCACTCTTGTATCTTACAATAATAGAAAATAAGAACATAAAGAATAGCAAAGTGCATCTTTTAAGTGTTCTTTAAATTCTAGTCCCCATAATTTACTTCAAATCACTGCAGTATATGAATTCATGCATTTACTTTCATCATGGAAAACTTAAAGTTGCACTAAGAAAATGGGACAAGTCTCGGCACAATGCAAAGAAATTGAACATACTGAATGCGTATTATAATGCACAAATGATTTACTCAAAGATTTTAAATATACCCACTGATATTTGCAACCAGCTTTTTATGATTTCTCATCACAATTGTGTCGAGAGCACACCAAAACATGTATTTTGCAGAAACATTTAACATCAATTATATATTGCAAACAAATAGTTTAATATGAAGAACTCACTTGCAAATTCAAACTAAAATAAATATCCTTTAACATTTCTATATAAGATACAGTAAATCTGCTATATAATTTGTTAAAAATTTTTTAGCTGGACACAGTGGCACTCGCCTATAAGCCAGCTACTTGGGATGCTGAGGTGGGAGGATCACTTGAGCTCAGGGGTTCAAGAACAGCCTAAGCAACATAATGAGACCCCATCTCAAAGAAAAAATAAATGAAAAATAAGTAAACAAGTAAAAATAAAAACTTGTTAAAGGAATGAATCCTTATTTGGTAGAAACAAAGAAAGTCATGTAGAAAATACTAGTAAATATAGCATTAAAAATAATTAAAATGCATTTAAAAAAATTTTTAACAATATTTTAAGTCTTATAAACCATAAGAACCTTTATTATAGTTGTATCTGTCAACATTCTTTTTTATAGGCTAAAGACTACTAATATTTTAAAAATAATAATATAATTTTGATACTGATTTAACATGTAAAAAGGTGTTAGAAACAGGCATCAACTGAAGTCCAATAAAATCCTCAACTGTATTATACTTTGGTACCATTTCATTGTTTAGTGATTTTTAAAAATCAAACATTATGTGGCATAAACTGTACTTAAGTCCTTAGCCCTACATTCAATCATTTTATGTCAGACACTGAACAACTTATCTCTACTTAAACTTCGTTTAATGTAATATATTCAGGCTACCTTCTAATATAAAGCAACACAGAGCAACTAACCTAGTCCCACAGTAATCTCTAACTGTGCCTAATTTATAAATTAAACTTTATCATAGGTATGTACATATAGGAAAAAAATAGTATATATAGGGTTCAGTACCATCAGTGGTTTCAGGCATCCTCTTAAAGTCTTGGAATATATTTCCCCTCAGATACTGGGGGACTATTATATTTTCAAATACAAACAAAAATATAAGAACCTCTGGTATCTCAGGTACCAGGGGTTAGGATTTAACATATTTTCTCAGGGGACACAATTCAACACACAACACAGACCTATTCAGTCTTTCTACTTCTCCTTACGTCAGTTTACGTAGCTGGTATCTTTCTAGGAATTTGCCTATTTCATCAAATTATCTGCTAGCAAAACATTGTTCAGAGCATTCCTCATACAATCCTTTTTATTTCTGATTTCTCTTATATCATTCATGATTAGTAATCTGAGTCTTCTCTTTTCTTGATCAGCTCTAGATCAGGTTTATCAATTTTGTTGACCTTTCCAAAGAACCAACTTTTGACTTTAATTTTCTCTATCATTTTTCCTATACTGTTTCATTTATTTCTACTCTAATCTTTATTATTTGTCTTTCTGCTCATGTTGGGTTTGGCTTGCTCCTCTTTTTCTAGTGTCTTAATGTGAACGATTACAATATTGATTTGAGAACTTTTTACACAGTCATTTATAAACAGCCTCCTAAGCACTGGTAACGTTTTGGTACGTTTTTTGTTTTAATTCATCTCAAACTTTTTCTTTTCTTTTTTTTTGAGACAATGTCTTGTTCTGTTACCCAGGCTAGAGTGTGGTGGTGTAATAATAGCTCACTATAGCCTTGAACTCCTGAGCTCAAGTGATCCTCTCGTCTCAGCCTCCCAAGTTGCTGGGACTACAGGCATGAGTCACTGTACCTGGCTTCAAAGTATTTTCTAATTTTGTGACTTCTTTTTTTAATCCATTCATTATTTAGAAATATGTCCTTTAATTTTGACATATTTGTGAATTCCCCACATTCCTGTTATTGATTTCTAATTTCATTTCACCATGGTTGGAAAACATACTATGTATGACTTCAATCCTTTAAAATTTATTGTTTTATGGCCTAGCATTTGGTTTATCCTGGACAATGTTCCACTTACATTGGAGAAGAATGAATATTTTGCTTTTATTGGGTGGAGTGTTCTATAGATATCTGTTGGGCCTAATCGATTCATAATATTTTAAGTCTTCCACATCTTTGTTAATCCTCTGCCTCAATGTTCTCTCCATTACTGAAAGTCAGAGATTGACATGTCTAACGATTATTGTTGCACTCTCTATTCCTACCTTCGATTCTGTTGGATTTTGCTTCACGCATTTCGAGGCTCTGTTTGTTGGGTGCATACATAAATATGTTTTCCTGATGGACAAGCCCTTTTAATATTAATTAGAAAATGTCCCTCTTTATCTCTAGTTCACTTAAGTCTATTTCACTGGCAGCATGTAGGTTCTGTTATCACTATTTGGAGGGTGCTACTTTGAGCATGAAGAGTTCCCCATCCATCAGGAATGATCGGTTTCATTCCTCCTAGGTGTTAGCCTTCACTAATTGTTAGTTGACTGTTCAACTGGTTTTTGCCACACCTTAGGGCATAAATTGCTCCATAGTCTAATAAAATAAAAGTTGGTCCCTTTACAGAGGCAAAGTGTTGTCAGTGTTTGAGACTTGCTTCAACTGTAGGAGGGCTCGCAGCTGTCTCTCTTTCTGGTACTCTGTTAAACTTCTAACAGGTTTGTCATTTATTTCACTTGTAGCTACTAATGTAGAGCTATAGACTCCTAATTGTTCACAAAAGATCTTCACTGTTTTCAATACCTTTAGGCATGAGGTTTCCTAAATTCTGTTAAAAATACTCCCCTTGGGGAGAATTGTGGCGTTCTCCCTTTCTTTAGGCCTGCCCTTTCCCTTGGAAGAACCTTTGAATCACTGCACTGGAACTGGAGGATGGGATGATGATCTACTTCTCTTAAAGTGACATCTTTGCTCTATGAGCAAGGTGGTGGGTAAGGATGGTAGCCCACAATCATACTGACTTGTTTTCCCTTGCATGGAACCTCTGCCCTATAAATGAACTGGGGCTGGAGCAATCTGGCCCCAGTATTCTCAGCCTATCATGCCTGGGATAGATTTCCACTCTGAGTAAAAGCTGAGTGGGGGGAAAAGAGCCTCTGACTTCACCAGTCTAGAAGAGAGCAGAGAGCATCTGCAACACTAAGCCAGAGCATATGAAAGATGTCTACTGCCTGCCCTGGCCATTCAGAGTAGAGCTTCCCTTAAGCTGCGGTTAGGGAGGTGGATGGGAGCAGGTCACATGGCTCAAATACCACATACTCTTGCTGTTCTTACTCAAATTTGATAGATTTTTATGAGCAAATGTTTCTCCATTTGCTGAATGCCCTTAAGATAGTGATTTCTAGAATTTATAAGATTATTTTAGGATAACTGTCACTAGCTAAATGGTTGTTTCATTTATTTGTTTTTATCCAGAACAATAACCAAAGATTAAAAACATAGCACAAAATCATATACTTTTTTCAGCTGCACCTGGTCACCACATTAAACATTTATAGTAACAATATATAAACAAAATATAGCTTATCCTCACAGTATGTAGGTATACCAAAATAAAATGAACCAATAAAAACAAAAAAATTTATATGACATAG